CCCCCCCCCTTTTACCCCCTTTCATTTTTTACCCCCAGCCCTTTGATTGTTTTTCTTCATCTTCTCGTGTTCACTTTCTCATTGTATGATAATGTTTTATGATATTCTTCTTTCTCCCTTTCGCTTTTGGAGTTGCAAAAAAAAAAAAGTTATGTGGTCGTGTGGTAAGCTTGCTTTACCCGACCAAGAATGATTACCCTTTTCACCTGACACCCACACACCCAATGTACGTAAATAAAAAAAGGCACAGGGCAACCAATCTTGTTGACAAGTATTGCACATGATAAAAGAAGCGATATGGAATGTTATGTTAATGCGCCGCTTTATGCTGGCATAAGATGATTATCCCACTTGACAGGTTGCATAAACTCAAACAAGGCAATCAGGCACTGGTGATGGAAAAGGAACAGTGCGCTATAATTAAACGGCTTCTCACACGGACATTGTATATACTGCGCCGTGCGCACTGATCTTGCTACGCTCTCACACTGGCTGCTTGATCTCATTGGTTATGTTTTGCTCCCTTCGAAATGTGCCTTATTTTGCATCATGCATTAGTCATAGCTTGCATATGCACCTTATACACTTGTCGATCGTGCCCCTTGAATAGATGGATCCCCCATGATAAAAGACACAAAGAGCATTCTAGACATGAAAGAGATCGAAAATCGACACACACACACATGCACAAGGTTAGAGTTTGGTACAAGGTGGTCTAATCGCGCGCGCTACCTTTACGCCTATCACTGTGTGTGTGTGTGTGTGTATCGGGCCTTGGCTTTTGTGTTCCATGGATGTGGATGATATCGCCTTTGCCTATTTTTTTTTCTCATGTCGATTGGGTTTGTTATCGAATGCGCCCTCCGCTTCTCAGATTATTTGACATCCGTTACGCGTCTTTCGTTTCGGTAGCAAAATCCCAAAGATGTTATTATATCTCTGATTCTCCGATCTCAAGACAGCTATGTTACACATCCGCTTCTTGGTCGGTCGCCCACTACCGGGATTAGCTATTACAACTCATCCCGAGCTTATCTTGGCTTAGTGCCTATCGCTCGCTCGCTCGCTCGCTCTCCCAACATAGGGATCTCCTCCTCGTTAGTTAATATTAACCCTTACTTGCACTAAAAGTGGAAAAGCCTTTCTCTCATTCCCCCGTATATAGAATGAACAGCTATATCAGCATTCATCAACAACAGTGGGTAGTACTTGTAAGCTTCGGGAAAGTATGCAGCTATTTCCCCACGAACAGCTGTTGTACATACGCGGTCAGCATGAGTAAATAGGTAACTTTCTCAAATGTCATATTACCACTCCCACTGCCACCCGCCTCTTCTACACACAGCACACCAATCGCACCATGGCGCCGTGATTGCTATCATTCCCACACTTTTTTTGATGGGTTGTCAAGGTATAGTCCCAATTGAGGAAATCATGCGATATATATCTTGCTTCTTTTTTTCCCAAGCTTTACACTGACATTCTATTTGTCTCCTTGATCAACATGTAATGTTATTTCTCCATTTAGGTCATTGGTGACACATTCAGGCACGGACATTTGCATAGCCGCCGATTTGTATGGTGCAACAACACCCCATTTCTTTCCTGCTGTGGTGTGGTAGAATTGCGTTTTTGAATGGGACAGAAAAAGATCTACAATGACGTTTTTATTTGGGAGTCTCAAAGGGTTCTACAAGCATCTTGCTAAATTCCTTAATGTCTTCAGTGCCACGCACTTCCTTGGTGAGCAATGGCATACGCACAATATGGAAGTCCTCATACAAGTCATAAATTTGCTCGAGGTATTTTTGTTGCATCTTGTGTCGGACGTTACAATGCTCACAATTGGATCCTACATGTTGCCCATGAACACCTCGGCTCTTGTTCAATCCCCCTCTCCCCTTACTTACCATCCTTGGGGAACAACAGTTGGTTCACCACAATGTTGTGAGTGTCGATATGGTAAGCAGTCAACTCTTGAATCATACGCTCGGTCTCGTACAAGGACAAAAATTCTGAAATGCACACACAGATAAAGGTTGTGATGTTCTATAGACGCATACATAAGTCACGTGACTCGCCACATCCATAATTTGTTAGACTTACCGGATCCTTGAATTGATTGTTCACCTCCGTGATCACTGAACGCATTTCCTCCAACTTTGAAAACATGTCTTCTTGATTGGCATTCAATCCCATCATGCCTGAAACCTGTTGATGGATTATTTAATCATCATCACTCATTCGCCTTGAAAATGCAATGCATACCTGTTGGAACATGGGACCAAAACGACCACTTAGACCACTGATCTTTGCCAAAGCCTTTTCCAACACGGTAGGGAACGACAAGAAGCGGAGGGTGTGACCAGTAGGTGCCGTATCGAAGACGATGACGGAGTATTTCATTGATTTCACTTGTCTATGGATGATGTACATAAGTACAACAACAACCAAGAAGCATCGAATGACGACTTACTTCATGACTTCAGCAAAGCCCATGGCTTCATCGACACCGGGAATGGCATAAGCCAAATCTTGCACCATGCTGCCCATAGCGTTTGCATTGCCCTGATCAGCTGAACAAAACAAGGTCTCGTGTCAGCCCCTCTACGCACGCACACACACACACACACACATATCCCTCTTTCTGTATGCTTACATTGCTCGATCATCTCTTGAATGCTCGAAGTGGGATCGATTTCCTAAGATACCTTTAGATGATGATGACACCCCCAAGACATATCCACTACTCGTTACATACCATAGCATACAGGTTGTCAAAGCCATTGACAAGCGAAGCTTCCTTGGAGAACTTTTGACCAAAGGCATCCGACAAGTTGTGTGCAGGATCGGTTGAAATCAAGAGCACGGATTCTCGTACCTTGGACAATTGAACAGCAAGCGAGCAAGATGTGGTTGTTTTACCTGTAAAATGGTGAGCATGACCATGTTGCATTGTCCCTGTTCTTGTTACTTACCAACACCGCCCTTGCCACCAACAAAGATCCAGTGCAAGGACTTTTGATCCAAGACGTTCTTGAGAGTTGGCTCGAGGGGTTGGAAATCGTCATCCGAAATGTCAGACATGGTTGAACGTGTGTGGTGGTGGTGGTGGTGGGCGTAACGCGTTGAGGAGGTAGTGGAAACGGGAAGAAAGTGTGCTACGTGTTTGTATCAAATTGCCTGAAAGTCCACCTCCCCTCCCCTCCTTAATGCTGGGCTTTTCCTCCTATTACTATCACTATTACTTTCACATGACTTCACCCCACATACACACTCACATTTACGTTGGCTACATGTTTGATCAAAGATGGATTGTTTAATAAGAGTCAATGGTGGATCACTTCCCCAAAGCAGCAGCAGCAGCGACAACAGCTGCCCACCGTTCAATGCTGAGTGTTTAGTCTTCGATTCCTTGTATCGCCACCACTACTATAATCAGCACCAAACGCCACCTTTTTTGGACTATAAGATCAATAAAGTCAACATTACCCCAAGATCAAAAGTTTGCATAGGTAAATAGAATGTCTTTTATTACAGCTCCTTGTTTGATATCACCTTTGTGAATCTCTAGTAACCATCCTTTTGTAAAGTAACCACATGGGTCACGTGCACCTGCTGATCATAGCGTGCGTGTGTATGCATTATCAGCCAGTGAATTCACTCCACAATGCAGCAGCAACGTTTTGTCAGTCCGATCTACGTGTCATTTTACTCTTTGCTTCACTCTTCCACCTGTCAGCCACTTCTTCCTATACAACATGAACAACCAACGTCCACCGTATCCCATGCAGCCACAAGGTACACGTCCTCCACCACCCCATGGTCATCCTCAAGGCCCAAATGCCGCTGCTGTCAGACCACCACTTACACCAAACGCCAATCAACAACGTCCTCAGCAACAACAACAACAACAACAACCAGGCAATGCTCCTATGCCACCTGCTGGACAACCACGATTGGCTCAAGGCTTCAATCCTAATCGTCCAATGCAATCTCCACCGCTTGTCAATCCATCACAACCAGGCCAGCCACCCACTATTATGCGTCCTGCTCCTTCACCAGTGGCAACAAACTCACCCATGACACCTCAACAACAACAACAACAGCCTCGACCAGGATACGTTGGTCATAGTCCCTCTATGGCACCAGGAATGGGTGTAGTATCTCCAGGATCCACAAGCATGGCATCACCTGCTGCTGCTCCTGCTCCTGCTCCTTCAAGTACAACAGAGCATCATAGACGCAGAAGAATGTATCCAGAACAAATCACGCAAGCATACATGGATGAACCTGCTACCTCTATGGCACCACCACAACAACAGCAACAACAACCTCAATACATGACACCAGCAGGTGGACAGGCTACACAAGGAATGGCGGCTCCACAGCAACAACCCTATCCTGGATATAATAATCAACAAGCATCAGTAAGCAGCATGGCAACTCAATTCGGTAGCATGAGCTTGGGTGGAAGTAATGTGAGTGTATATATACTTGTTCAAAGCGCGTCTATTAACAAGTATGGTTGAATAGGCACCCCATTCAGTTCCTTTGTCAGGGTTACGTCCACAAATTGTCGATCTCAAGGGACCCCAGCCTGCCATTCGTCTGCCACCCAATGTAAGATGATCGATCGGATGGGCTCGTATCTAAGCATACTAGTGTCTTACCACGTCTTTACAGGCATCATTGACCGATTCGCCCTTTGCAAATTGTGATCCATCCTACAAGTGCTCCACATTAAATGCCATCCCATCCACCGAACAGCTTTTGAAAAAGTCACGTCTTCCATTGGCTCTTGTGCTGGCACCTTACAGAACAGTGGATGAAGGCGAGGTAAGGGGGAAAAAAGGAGTGTAAACCTTTATATCACTCATCATCATGTGTATCATAGCAACCTGTTCCCGTCATTACTGATAGCGTTATTTCACGATGTCGTCGTTGCCGCACTTATATCAATCCCTTTGTTACGTTTGTCGAAGGAGGCCAACGTTGGAAATGCAACATGTGCTTTTTGCTGAATGATGGTATGTGTATTCTTTTATGCAGCATGGTTGGCTCTATGAAATGCTGATCTCCTGTGTGATATTAGTGATGTCCGCTTTTGATTATGATTCTGTTGCACAACGACCTGTGGATCGCTGGAAAAGAGCTGAATTGAATTATGGATGTGTGGAATTTGTGGCACCTACAGAGTATATGGTAAGCCGCAGGTAGACTTTGTTGTTGCAACAACAAGCTGATCCAAGTTGAATAGGTTCGACCACCCCAAGCACCCGCCTATGTTTTCGTCATTGATGTATCCTATTCAGCAGTACAATCAGGGATGGTGGCAACAGCTGCAAGGACCATTTTGGATTCTCTTGAACGCATACCCAACAAGGAGCACCGTACCAGAGTCGCCTTTATCACTGTTGACAGCTCGTTACACTTTTATAGCTTGAGTGAAGAAGCAAGCGAACCCCAAATGCTGGTTGTCTCTGATCTTGAAGATGTCTTTCTTCCTCAACCCACCCAACTCTTGGCCAATCTCTCCGAGAATATGGAGGCTATCAAAGGATTCTTGGAAAAGTTACCAGACATGTTCAAGGCGACTGCTTGTGTGACCAATGCTTTGGGAAGTGCCTTGCAAGCAGCCTATAAACTTGTGGTATGTGATGATGGAATGGATCACTGGCATTTGTCTCATCATGTGTGTATATATGAAAAAAGTGTGCCAACGGCGGAAAAATCGTTTGTTTGCAATCGACCTTACCCAACGCTGGTATTGGAGCTCTCAAACCTAGAGAAGATGTCAAGATGCTAGGTACAGCCAAGGTGAACTTTTTGCACACATTCCACTTTCGCTCCCTTCTCCTAATCCAATTTGAAATGATAGGAATCACAACTTTTGAATCCAGCATCTCCATTTTTCAAGTCCTTTGCAGTGGATTGTTCGAGAGCTCAAGTTTCTTGTGATATGCTTATCTTTGGTGGACAATACTCGGATGTCGCTACATTAGGTATTCAATTTGATCAAGTCTTTTGTGCATACCTAATCACTTTTACTTTATAAGGCTGCTTACCTCACTATACGGGTGGTCAAACCTATTACTATCCTGGTTTTAATGCGAGCAGGACCGAGGATGCACTCAAGTTTGCACACGAATTTTCCGAATTGTTGGCTGAAGAGATTGGATTGGAGGCTGTTATTCGTATTCGAGCTTCTCGAGGACTACGCATGAGCGCTTTCCATGGCAACTTTTTCATTCGCTCCACTGATCTACTTGCTCTTCCCAATGTGCCACGCAACCAGTCTTATTGTGTTGAAGTGTCTATCGAGGATGAAATTAAGGCACCCACAGTATGCTTCCAAACGGCATTGCTCCACACGACATGCCATGGAGAGCGACGTATTCGAGTCATTACCCTTTGCCTACCTGTCACTTCCTCTATATCTGAAATTTATGCAAATGCCAATGAACAAGCACTTGCTGGTTACTTGACCAACAAAGGTAATAACGTCAACTGTGTGATGGACAAGGATCGGAATTGCTCATGATCGTGTTGATTATTGATAGCCATCGAGAGAGCACTTTCTTCAAAGCTGGATGACGCGCGAGATGCCATTGTCAACAAGTTGGTGGATATCCTTGGTATCTACAAGTCCCATGTACAAGGATCGGCACCAGGATCAACACCCCAATTGACAGCCCCCAACAACTTGAAATTGTTACCATTGCTAGCATTGTGTCTCATCAAACATGTAAGTCCTTATCCTTGTACGATCATCATCACAAGAGGCTAAATGTGTGATGTCTACTCTAGGATGGATTGCGGCAAAGTTCTCAAATCCCTACCGACTTGCGTTCAAATGCCATGAATCTTTTGCGTACCATGCCTTTGCAATTACTATTGCCGTATTTATACCCCAACCTCTATTCTCTTCACAATATGCCTCCGGAGGTAAGATGGTGCATCATGTACAGAGAGAGAGGATGTCGTGGCTGATCCAATATTATTAGGCCGGTGAGATCACGGAGAATGGTGTATCGTTTCCTCCAGCATTGAATTTAACAGCTGAAAACATTGAACCGCATGGATGTTACCTCTTGGAAAATGGACAACATATTTTCATTTGGGTGGGACGCGGCGTTGTACCACAGCTATGTGCCGATTTATTCGATGTACGGTCATATGAAGGATTACGAGGTGGCAAGGCCATCCTACCCACACTTGAAACACCCATCAATCGCAAGGTCAACATGCTCGTTGGCAAGATTCGTGAAATGCGCAGGGGCAACTATTATCCTAATCTTTATCTTGTCAAGGAGGATGGTGATCCTTATCTTCGACTTTGGTTCTTGTCCCATTTGGTTGAAGATCGAACCGATAACATCATGAGCTATCAACAATTCTTGCAACATCTCAAAGACAGGGTATGTAAATGATGACTTTTTTTGCGCACGTGACACTCTATCTCATCCCTTCCTCCCCCCCTTTGTAGATGACCTCTGCATCCTACTGATATGGATACTACACGACGTTATTTTAGATTGACACCAAGTTTGATTTTATTAAAGATCGAATGTACCCTTATAACATAAACTTGATTTGAGTCTCTCAGTAATACAATACTTGTTGTCGATGTGTATACCGAGGGTTGTTCACCACTTTATCAGCTCGCTCTTTCATCAATCAACGGACAACAACTCCCACGCCCACGTATATAAAAGCATACATGTTGCCACCACCATCATGATCGCCCATTTCTTTTGTCCGTTGTATCCATTGACCATTATGGGGTAAGTGACAACCAATGAAATCTTTTGGATGATGCTCACGCATTCATCCTCTATGTAGCTCTTTGCTGTTGTCTTTTGACATAAGACCCTATTCCCTGATGGTGGTATGTACGATAATCATTTCAACCATGCTTGAGTAGTGCTTAAAACAGCCTAGATGTAATACCTTGCTTTGCAAGTAGTAGGGCAACCCCGGTTTAGACTACGCCGAATTCATAGGCGGTACTTTGGCCATCAACGAAGAGTACGGCACATTTGATCAGGCAACATTGCTCTGGCCATAGACAAGGCTCAAGCGTGCCGTACACTGCATACATCTCGAACTATGAACATATCGACTGGGTCAAACTTATCGAGGACAAAGCTCCTTTCACCAATGATGATGATGGAGACGAGTACATGGATCTGATCAAGATATACATACGACGTGCAGACGTAGTATTGACCAAGGAAGAGTGTGGCAAACACGAATCTGGCAAACATGTGCAGCAAAAGGTGACAGAAGAAATCTAGACCTTGGACGACTTCATGGTGCGGATGCGCAAAGCACATGGAAAAGATTGGGTTACGCATGTATCCAAGAAGACAAGGATATACAAGAAGCAGCTACGTTCAACCAAAGACCGTAGTCGTCGCCTTCCAACGAAGAGCAAATACAAAGGGCTTGTTGAGAATGAACGATTGCAGTTGGTGGCGAATCCAGTGACGGGGATGCTACAAAGCAAAGGTTTGTAATACCTTTGTTCTACTTATTCATGGAGCTCACAAAACAATAGATGCAGAAAATCATTGCGAAAACATTGGTGAAACATCTGCTAACAGCGTGGAGATAATCTTGGACTCAAGCTGCATAAAACCAGCATAATCAACTCTATGCACGGATCACTTCACTTATTCTCTTCTCGAGGCCATTCCACTCCTCCCTATTGTATTACAAAAGCCATATACTTCTTGCATGACTGATAACCGGGACCACCTTTATTTTTCCATCTTCGAAGCAATAGTATTGTAATCCACAAGCTAGCAAAGTCCAAGCGTGTAATAAATAAACAATGCTTTATTTCATCTAGCTATCTTGCTATGTACTGTACATTGCCACCACCATCGTCGTAGTCGCCCTCCGTCATCATTCCTACTTGTACTCGTCACCAGTTGTCAATCTCATCCGTCACACCAACATCCAAAAATACACAAGTTGAAAAGAATGGGATCTTGCAGGCTTCCTTTTGAATCTCGTTGTCGTCATCATTGTCATTGTTGTAGACGGGGTGATCATCGTAATCGTCATTGTTGTGAATGTGGTAATCATCGTAATCATCGTCTCTATAAATAAGAAAGCAGGCAAGTTAGACCATCTGGTACCGGAATGATGACGATTTGGTATACCGTTAGGCGATCCTCTCCAAGGAATAAAGCAAATCAGAAGGTATTCACAAACCAAATCACCGCCATACGAGCAACGTCGGGCGATCCCTTGTTCTTGAGAAAGCACTGCACGAATCACGCAAGGCCAGTTCGATCCATGGCAAGGAAGGACTCACTTACGTAGAGTCCAGGCTCATAGTTGTCCTCATTCATCCTCTCCAAAGAAAGAATGATCCCCAATCCTTCCAATCATTTCCCACCTCATGAAAAGAAATCCTCAAGGGAAATAACGAGCCTATCTCGAGAAGAGCGTGTTGGTTCAACACATTCACGAGCTGTTGCAAATCCCCTTTTACCTCAACACGGTGACCATGCTCTTCCAACAACCCATCGTCAACTCAACGCAGGCCTATAGAGCCCTGGACGCGTTCCAAGAAGCTTTTCCAGCACACTTGGCTAGTGCAGAACGACGCAACGGCCACTTGATCCAGGCTGGAACTTGAACCCAAAGAGATGGTGATGCCCCCAAGTTGGATTGCCTGACCAAAGAAACCTATTCAATTCACTATTAGCACACACACAATAAACACCCTTTTCATTGTTTGTTTCATTGCACTTGCCTTTTCCATATACACAAAAACCCCTTTGTTGTTGGTTACTGGAAACCGAAAGCCATGGTGTAGTAGTGTAGTTGAGCCGAAACAAAACCAGCCAACGTCTTGACACCAAACTTGCCCTCTATACAAGCTAACACGTCATGGAACAAGTTCGGCTGCAACATTCGACTCTGAATGTACCTGTTGACACCAAGCGTAAGGCGGGAATAGCAACGAACAAAAGGAAGCAACGGTATCGCCATGGCGACAACACGCTCATTCCTCGGCACTTGGACACACTCTCACTCCTTGACAATGCATGTTACCTCACAGTCAACAAGAGCACTACTCTTTGATAACACATTACCTTGAGTGGAATGGCGTGAAGGCGATAAAACCAGACGAGCGACAAAGAGAAAGAGACGCGTTGTCTCAAGTCGTGGAGCTACCGTCCCCAAGTTTAAATTCCCTACTGCTATTACACTGAGGCCACTCAATGACCCCACACACACACACCATCCACCCATCGTCATCATCACCCTTACGATAGACAATGGATACACGTAAATAAAAGAAATGATCCTCACGTATAGCAAAAGGGTGTGTGCCATTTTACACTTTACACGATAACGATGATCCAACCACAGCCATTGCCTTGGTGCCAGGTTAGCTCAAATCAAGGAAGTTGACTGATGGGCATGATGGGCTGGAGCAGGGGAATCGTTCACATGCATTGGATTGGGAAACAAAGGTGAATGGGAGAAATGGGTTATGCATTTTAGGAACTATACCTAAATAACGTACAAGTATCATGCATCGCCTGTGCTGATTGACTCAAGTTACACAACACGTCTCTCTGCATCTTTGGCTCTATTGTAGTCATCCTACTTGACAATCAAGAAAGACCTCTTTTCATATAGCATCACGCTCGATTATGAAGATTTTGAGAAGCAGCTATCTATATATTGTGCCTATGCAACAGTGTGGTGCTTCTTCCTTATCGATGGTGTTGAGAGCCCTCTAAGGAAGGTGAACACCTTTTCTTACTACGTGATCAGTGGTTCGTGTGTCAGCAAGGTGGATCGAACACCCTTTCTTTTACGTGACCGATGATTCGTGTGTCAGCAAGGTGGATCGAACATCTTTTCTTTTACGTGATCAGTAACAGCCATAGTATAGAAGTAGCTTTATTTATGTCTAGCGACTTGCTTTAGCAGCCATCGAATACACCGCAATACAAGCAATCTTCATTGTTTCGCTACAGCGAAAGATGTCCAAAAGAGATAAACCAACAGCTAGATGGAAAAGGAAGCAGCTCTTTTAACAAGCACATTGATTATAATAATAGCATCACAATGTTGCAAAAGGTGCAAACCGGATATATATGATACTTTTTGACACACATGTTATTCATAAACATGATAGGCTCATCATAGAATCAGCCTTTTTTATATCATAACGCTATTTTGTTATTGTACAAAGGCATTCTTCGTAATTGCTGAATGGTTCATCATCATAAAAGTAATCATTGATTTAATTTTTGATATGGTAGTCTATTGATGCCTGTTTTTGCTTATCATACATGTATACTTAAAATGATGATACAGGCGTTTCTAAAAGCACCAAAAGATGCAGACAGAGGAGCTGCTAGCATCCATCGATACGATATATCGTTTGAACGAAAAAATCAATCACGTGATCATCCTGTCGCAGCAACATACCGGATCTTCTTGATCGGTATTATCTTTTTATACATCTTTATCATCTTATCTTCTTTATGCTGCGCCCTCCATCATTACTTCGCCACATCCATATTACTTAGCCATCTTGATATACTTAGCCCCATCCAACAATTATAAATAGTGGACGATCTCATAGAATAAAACATTATCTTACGTTCTCTTTACTTTATTGTCTATTTGCCTGTGTGGCACTATTCTCCTTCGTGGTTCTATTCCTGTGTGGATCCAAAAAGAAAGACTGTCGTTATCGTATGGCTGATTAGATCAGTGGCCAATGATATAACTTTTGGTGTTGCTATGATAAGTGATGATCTTTTATTGCTAAGGATGTTCACGATATATATATGTTCAATGTATGGATTCTATGAATGATGTGGAAGATGCTAGTAAAGGGCTTCTAGCAATTGCCAGCATCAAAAGGAAAAGGGTTCTAGAAGGAACGAGCAAAAGCTAGGTCACGTGGTCACATGACCTACGACAAGACGACAATCCAAAATCACCAAAAATGCAAAAAGTGATGATCCAATTCGACTTTTGATTCGAATTGAAGGCGAAAATCGTGTGTCAGCAAGGTGGATCGAACACCTGACCTTTAGATCTTCAGTCTAACGCTCTCCCAGCTGAGCTATGCCGACTTCTTGTTATCTGAATCAGAAATTACATAATGGATCCAAAAATTTCCATATAAAAAACCAAACGCTATCGACATGAAAAAAGCACGAGAATGTAGCGGAGTAGCTGTAATGTTGAATGGTAATGTTCATTATTGTTTTGGGGAGGTGGATGCTAAATGAATAGAGATTTCAGTGATTTCAGTGGATAATTTCCTTTCTACGCCAATCGCTTGCGATAATTAAGCACCGTTTCTCCGACAGAATCGGTCGGACATAGCTTCTCCGATGCGCTTCGGTGATGATTGTTCACTTTAATATTTCACCTCTATGATGTACTCGATGTAGTTGCTATGAATACCAATATGATAGCATGACTTTGCAACCATTCAGAGCATGGACTTCAAGAATGATATGGTAGATAACATTGTATATAGTTCAAGTGTATATCTATAGTATCACGATAATACATACACGTACACAACATAGAATAATTTGGATGCGACATCTCAATGATGCTTATTTCATGCTACTAACAAATCGATGCTGCTTTCGGATCTTGGGATCAAAATACAATAACAACCTAGTAAGACCAAGAGACAAGGTGAGTGAATAGCTCTGTCTAATATCGGAGAGAAGGATTGTATTGGGTTGCCATTGTTTAATGTTTATGACGCGTTTGTCAAGCTTACAGGGAAAAATGACCCGCTAGAAAGGGGAGATGCTTTCCGTAGAAATCTAACTAGAATGTACAGTCATTGGCTAAGAGGAGAATCGTGAGCACTCAGTAATACGCGGCTGATCAAGCAAGAAGCTATGGCTGTAAAAGATACACTCTTACACCCAAGGAAGCTTTATTCATGTAAGCAAATTAGAACAAGATACTTTTTACACCACAAAGCTAATGACAGTGTAGGCTTGCCATGTTGCCATTGAGGGGGATTGCTCAACCAAAAGGACACCGATCGAGGATCGCATGTGCAATGGGCTACGCTAACAGGTACCGGTAGTCGTTTACCTACTATTACCATGCCGATAGTGCTCCAGAGAAGCTCACCGTGGTCATTGTTCACATACGATTGAGGAAACAATAGGGGGTTGCTATGGTTTCTTTATGCCGGATATGATGCCATGCCTATACTCACTTTACACGTTGCATGATCCTTGTGCTACTTTAAGGGACGTGATCGAAGGCTCATGATACGTTGTTGTCTAAGACATGTGGTAATAGAATGACATAATAGACCCAAGTATGGGGGATTATCAATGCCCTTTATGAGAATAAAACCACCATTTATAGCCATTTATTCAGTCATCTTGTTTAGCCAACATGCTTTAAAATCCTATCGTTATGCGACAGCCACATCACTTGAATGGCGATGATCCTTTACTGTTCCTCCAAAACACATTCATATACAACATCTTCAAGTAAATCAATGGGTAAAGTCATGTTGTAGTGGAACCGGTTTTACATGTGATCAGGTATCGAGGCACTTTAATGGCGTAAATACCACCTCGTTCATTGGTATAGGAAAGAATCAATGCTCCTCAGCCCTGAGATGAATCAGTAGTTCAGATGATCCATTCATTCATAAGAGTGGTTTTTATGCTGAGTGAGAGGTGTGTCCTTTCAATACATGATTTACGTAATAGTATAACTTTGTGATCAAACAAGAACGCGCTTCTTTTTTGGTCGAATGAAATAAAATGATGCATGTAAACACCTTAAAGGGGTATCCTATTCTACCTACAAATGGACAACGATGATGACATTGTTGTGGTGCCTCATTTTTCTTGATAGAAGTCGTTGTAGCTGTAGCATGCAGGCTCAAGTGTTACAGTGCATGTGGGTTGTTAAGCGCGCGATCTACAGCATGCATTTTTATTTTTACTCCAGGATTCCGAAATGGTGATGCTGGATACTGGAGAGATGACAAAGATGGATATGTGTTTATTGATGAGGTACATGCATGCAGGCTTGAATCCTATCTCGATGACAACTACCCTATGTATGGGATCACCATGGCAACAGGTTGTTGCCATGTCCGACCTTTGCCAAACAAGTCCCCACCATGACAGCAGCGTGTGTATATCGAATGCAATTGGAAAAAGAGAGATGCGTGTTGCTCAAGGATAAACGCGTTGCACTTTTTAGAGTTTCACAGATTCATTGCATGGTGGCATGTGTGGCTGTACAAAGCACTAAATGGTATTTGGAGAGTAGCCTTCTTTTGGCCATTGTGTACACATTTGTTGGTCATACATACACAAAGAGTTGTTTCGCCTTTCTTCTTCACAAGTCGTCCTTTTTGCCCATGACACGAGATCGCCATTACCCATTGCAAGCTGACGTTGTTGTCCAAGAGGCGAAGGAGGAGGAGGAGAAAGACAAAATCCCTCCAGTGCCCAAAACGAAGCGTAGCAACAAACAACAACAACAACAGCACCGTAGAGCCAAAAGCACCCCCAATAATATGGCCAATTATATCAAACAGCACGAGATCCCGCCAGATCCACATACCTTTGGCACAACAACAGCTCCCCATCTCATTTGGTAAATGAGGAGAGCGAAAAGCAATCAGCATGAGAGACTCATTGGAAATGTCACTCTAGGGTCCCAGCGCATAAACATCCACAAATAGCTCCTAGCGAATTTGCAGCATGGATTGAAACCTATACAGCAGCCCACCAAGAAGGAGAAGGGCGTGCCAATTCATCATGTCTTCGTCGACAAAAGTCCAAGCTATCAACGTATTATACCTCTGATCAAGTAGAAGATGGTATGCAGATGACTATATATATATATACAAGATGGTTATTCATTGTATCCATGTTAGATAAAACGTATGTCTTTGACCGATATTCAACATCGGAAGACCTTTCGCCGATTCTTGTACCACGTGAAAGTAGATCATTGTCTCGGCGTTCTGCATTATCCAGTCGTGGTCGGAATGCTATCCGTCGTAAATCACTCACTACGATTGAGGAGCGTCGTCATAGCAACCACAAAGAGCAACAGCAGCAGGAGCAGGAACCCATTCCAGCAGGTGGCATTAAACTCTATGATCGACCTGTGAATATGAGTGAATGGGTGGATTTGGGAAATGCAATGGAAGAGGATAGCACCATGTTATCACGCGTTCATGATGTTGAGGCGCAGGTGTGGACACAGCCGACAAAACCAACAAAGCGACGCAATATGAACTTACCGCCGCCACCACCGCCACCGCCACATCAACAATTACCAGTAACAAATGAAAAGAAACAACCACAACAGCAGCAACGAAAGAGCCTTAAGCAATCCTTTACGCTCAGCAAACAAAAATCCAACAAGTGGATGGGTGGATTGTTTAAAAAGAATGAGAGCAACAACAACGACGATAGCAGCAACAACAAAAAAAGTGGTCTGGGTTCATTGATCACAAGGTCTTTATCTCTAAAGTCATCCAATAGTAGTAAAAGGAAAAAGCAGCATCATCATCGTCTATCACAACAAGAATCACGATCATCGCCACCTCCACCAACAACCACCACCACCACCATCATACCAACCATGATCAAAGAAGGTCGTGAGCGATTGCCTTTACATATTGAACGTGCTATTTATCATTTATCGCATGTCAAACTTACCAATCCTAAACGACCTTTACATCACCAAGTCATGATATCCAACTTTATGTTTTGGTACCTATCGATACAGCAACAGCAGCAGCAGCAACAACAACAACAATTCATGCTTCCTCCTTTACCACCTCAACATCATTATCAATCTGTTCTTCAACATGGATCATTGAATATGTGTTCACCACAGCCATGTTAATTTAGTAATGCGTCCTTTATGGAGAGAATAAAGAAATGGGCATTATGCATAATGAGGGAGGAGGGGTGGTGGATACTAGCTGTAGCTGTAGTTGTAGCTGCTGCGGCTTCCATTTTTTGTTGGCTGCGACACTCCCAGTCCCGCCACTGGCGAAATTGAAAAAATATAATGGGCGGAGGAGAGCCCATATTCCTTGTCTCTTTAAACCTCCTTCTTCTTTTCACGCGTCTTTTGCAATGTTTGGCAGCACTGGCTTTGGTGGTGGTGGTGGCTTCGGCCAACAGCAACAGCAACAACAACCATCCGTATTCGGTCAACAACAACAACAACAACCTGCATTCGGTGGTGCAGCAGGGGGTGGTGGTAAGTCAATGGAATTGGGGCTGCGCATGTGTAGTGCATGCTTGACTAATCAAGCTCTTTTCTTTGCTAGGTTTTGGCTCTACCCCGACATCGACAGCATTTGGAGGTACTGGCACAAGTGCATTCGGTCAATCAGCTCAAACACCTGCGTTTGGCTCGGGTACTACAGGTAAGAAGACGAATCAAATCAACGAACTCACCCATGCACCCACGCACCATGGCAATACTCACTCTTTTGCTTTTTCAAAGGTGGTTTCGGTTCAAACACTGGCTCAGCCTTTGGTTCAAGTGGAGGCACTTCAGCCTTTGGTGGTACTTCAGCTTTTGGTTCAGGTAAATAGATATAAAAGGTGGATGCGTAGAGAATCAAAATGTATTAATTCAGGCCAAATAGCTCAACAACAACCTGCATCCACTGGATTTGGTGGTAGCACCGGCGGTTTCGGATCATGTAAGTATATACAATCCTTGTATCATCATGGATCTATCATACTAAGTGCATTATTATCTTAGCTACGGGAACAACAGGATTTGGATCGACAAGTGGTACATCTACTGGTGGTGGTCTATTTGGACAAAGCCGGCCAACTACAGGATTTGGTGCAGCATCTTCAACGCCAAGTGTATTTGGTGGTGGCGCTACTACGGGTACAAGTGCATTTGGTGCTCAACCTCAACAACAACAATCAGCATTTGGTGGTATGGGAGGATCCACTTCAGCATTTGGACAAGCGGCAGGTGCTGCTGGTAGCAACCAAGGCACTGCTGTAGCCGATTTTGCACCCACTCAAGATCGTGATGTCGCTTCGGGTACCAACAACTTTTTCCAAACCATCACTGCAATGCCACAATACAAGAACTTTTCTGTTGAAGAATTACGTTTACAAGATTATTCTCAAAATCGAAAGACGGCAGGTGCTGCAGGTGCTGCTACTACTGGCTTTGGTGCTCCTGCAGCAGGTGGTGGTGGTGCATTTGGCAGTACAACGACGGGTGGATTTGGTCAACCTAGCACAACACCTTTTGGTCAACAACAACCAGCTGCAACAAGCGCCTTTGGTCAACCTCAAACATCCACTGGCTTTGGTGCGGGCAATACAGGAACGGGATTATTTGGTCAACCAGCAGCATCTTCAGGCACTTCAGCATTTGGTTCAACGACGGCATCCACTGGATTTGGTTCAACAGGCAGCACAGGCTTTGGCAGTGGTGCTGGAGGATTTGGTGCTTCGGCTGCTCCTAAACCCTTATTTGGTATGTTCATGCAAAGAGATGCTTTATACATGTATCCACTGACGACATTTTTTCTTCTTTTTCATAGGATCTTCTCAACCTGCTACTGGTGGATTTGGTGCAACTACATCGACACCTGCATTTGGACAACAACAAACTCAAACACCAGGTTTTGGACAACAACAGCCACAACAACAACAAACTGGATTTGGTGGATTCGGTCAAAAGCCTGCTGGCACTACCACCACACCTGGATTTGGTGCTCCAGCTGCTACGGGTGGATTTGGCACAGGTGGATTTGGTGCAACAGCTACTAGTAAGCCTGCCACGGGTGGATTTTCATTCAACACTCCAGGCCAAACGGGTACAACCTCTACTGGATTTGGTGGATTTGGTGCTTCTACGGGTGCTACGGGTGGATTTGGTGGTGCTCAAACATCTCAACCAGGTGGCACAAGTCTTTTTGGTGCTAATAAGCCTGCTACATCGACACCTTCACTCTTTGGTGCTACTCAACCTGCAGCTACGGGTGGATTTGGAGCAACGGGACAAACCAACACTGGTTTTGGATCCACTGGATTATTCGGTGCCAACAAGCCTGCAGGTACCACACCTAGTCTTTTCGGCAACACGCAAGCAGGAACCACAGGTTTTGGTGGATTTGGTGCAACACAGCAACAGCAACCTCAAAACAGCTTTACATTGCCTACCAGTGGTGGTTTGACATCATTTGGTACTATGCAACCAGGTCAACAAAATCAACAACCTTTGGTTGCCACTGTCGACAAGAATCCTTATGGTTCCAATCCCCTCTTTGATACGAGCAAGCAAGGGTTGGTAGGTGGTGTTGCTGGTGGTGGCATCAAGACTGGTCCTAGTGCTGTGGCCCTTGAAGATACCAAGAAGCCCACTGCGCCTCATTATCCCATGTCGCCTCGTGTGGTCTCCAAGATTAAGCTTCGTGGATTTACATTTACGCCTACTCCCAAGCAATCCACCAACAAACGCATGAGTGCACTTGAAGGCATTAGCGATGATGCTGTTCTCGGTGAAGGTGCCTTTTCCCCTCGTTTTGGCAACAAGAAGCTTATCTTTAAGAAGGGTGTCAATCCAACGGATGTGGATTCTTTGATCAGCAAAACGAATGATCACCCACGTGTCCTCTTTGATCCAAAGTCGGAACTTGCTGCGGCTGCAGCCAAGAAAACTTCCAGCCCATTGATGTCAACTAGTAAAAACAGCAGCAGCAGTCCATCCGCTGGCTTGACCACCTCTAATACTACTACAACAACAACTACTACTACTCAAGCAGCTGCCGGCCCATCGTATGTATCAGCAAGTGAAAAGGAAGGCTATTACTTGTCACCCACAGTGGAAGCATTGCAAGGCATGACCCAGGATGAATTGAAGCATGTTGAAAAGTTTACAGTGGGACGTCGTGGTTACGGTGAAGTCAAGTTTGATGTGCCTGTTGATTTATCAAAGATCGATCCACATGATATTATGGGCAAGTTGGTGGTCATTGCTGAAAAGAGGGTCATTGTTTATCCCGATGAAGTTGAAAAGGCTCCTCAAGGCACTGGATTGAATGTACCTGCCACTGTACGATTGGAGAAATGCTTCTCTACGGATAAGGATACCAAGAAACCCATCACTGATCCAGAACATCCTCGCTTCAAGCTCTTTATTGAAAGACTTCGCGCTCGCCCAGGTGTTGAATTTATTGATTACGATATAGAATCAGGAACCTGGACTTTCCATGTTGAAAGCTTTTAATTTTCATTCTCTCTCACTCTCTCACTCTTCCCTTTCCCCCCATCAAATTCCCCCATCGATTCAAATTAGCAAAATAAAACGTGCAACAAGGAAAAAAAAGGTGATATTCATTATTCGGATGATGATATCGACATAAAAGATATAAAGAACATTGTGTGTGTGTGTGTGTGTGTGTGTGTGTGTGTGTGTGCGTGTGTGTGAGTGTGGCTGATGGAATGCAATCAAATTAATAATTTTACTCTTCTATTTCTCAGCCTTTGTAAGGAGGATTGACGAGCGAGCTTGAAGTGCTATATTACGTATTATGGTGAGTGGATGATTGAATGCTTTACAAACACACACACACTTACCTTGGTTGTGGGATATTGATACCCAAGCTGAGCGATGACAGGATCGAGTCAATATCAGTCTTGGTGTCCTTGGGTCTCTTTGCAAGGCTACGCTTGGTCATGGATTGGAGTGAATCACCCTCACTTTCACCATTTTCCTTGTTTCCACCCGTCTTTTGTTGAGACACTATTATTCTTTTGTGTTAATAAAGCATTTTGGTGTTTGATCCCGTGACTCACCCAGTGCCTCTTTGAGATTTTCCACATTGATGGTATTCTTTTGTGTACGTTCTGAAGTCTATAAACAGCCTTTCGTTAGTAATTCAGATATACACATGTGCATCCACTTACTTCAAACTCTGCACCTGTCCAAGGAGTGACCAACTTGGGTTTGAGTTCTTCAAGATCACGAGACGATCGAATGCGGAAAGAGCGTTCCTGGCTCACTATGATAATGTATATATATAAGTCATCCAGCAATAGAGTAACGTCGTGGGGTGATGCATACCAAAAGCTTCAGAGCCCCATTCAGCATAAAGTTTACTCTCCAAATCCAATCCATGGGTATCATCCTCATCACGAAGTGATCCATCCTTGGAAATGATTTCCACCACGGCATGTCGATCAATAAACTTGTCCACAGGGGTTGTGTTTTCAGGATCCAAGTCATCAAAGTCCATGATATGAGCGACACTGGGGGCTACTTCGGGAATAAAGATGGGCGAATATTCCTTGTGTGCGATGCGTTCTTCCTTGAGGGGTTTAAGATAGGTCGCCAAGGCACTGATCTTGTGCATTTGTGATACCATGCCAAACCATTCAATCGTCGAAGCTGCAATGGCACGTTGCCGGGAGGTTTGTTTGATAGCACCTTGCTTCACCAGGCTCTGAAGCTTGAATACCAAAGGTACCGTGCGGATCGATCCATCAGCGCCAAAACGACGTGTCAAGGCACATAATAACGTATACATGGCACCCACATCCGCCACATTGCAAGCTGGCATTTGAACCCAATCGATAATGGTTTGGTGAACGGCATTGACAAACATGACATCACCGTGCTGTGTGAGCAAATGCTAAATCGTATATAAAACGTGGATTAGATGGATATCCTAAGATAGAAAAATATTACCCTCCCCATTTGCAATTGCTCACCTTGGGATAAGGACTACCATGAAAGAAAAAAAGTTCACATGTAAGCATATCATTGTAACAAGTATAGAAAAGGACCACTTACTCTGGTGTCAAATCGTCTTCATTGGTGGCGAGTTCGAGATAGCGAGTGAGTGTGGCAGCGAAATCAAGACGAGTATCTAATACAAAAAAAAAGACTTAATGTATCGAACATGCGAAAGCCTTTGTAAACCATACCGGGTATTCTGTCGGTCAATAGACCAATGGCAGGAAGCCAGCTGCTCAATGAAATCTCGTTGCCGGCATTGTTGTACTCATCCTCTGCGGCCGATTCCTTGCTTGTGGAAACGATCAAATCAAGACATACGAGAGCGACACGTCTGTATTGCTGAATAGGCAAATCCTCCACACGTTCCAATGCCGTGCCTGCACGCAATTTGGCAATAATGTATCCCACAATGTCGTTGAGCTGATTCTGATAATAGGTCTGGGAGGCCAAACCACCGATGCTATGGGCGAGACCTTGGTGGACGGCATAGACATACGTGGCTGTTACATCCGATGCATCAGGTGCTTCATCGCAATATTCACGTCCATGAACCGATTTGATGAGGTGCGTAAACAAAGAGTTGAGTACTTCGAGTACTGAAATGCCGACAAGAGGAATGCTGGCATTGAGGATCGTATCGAGGATCGAAATAAGCGAGGCTCGTTTCTCGGTGATCTCATAGACATCGTCGTTATTACTACTACCCTTGATGGCATCAAGTTGTTGTAACACTTCAGAGACAAGGAGGTATCGGTTTTGTGGCTAGATGCAAATCATGAATGCCCTTGTCGTAATGGCTGTATAGGGGGAATCTTTACCTGAAGAGAATCCAATACCAATTCCATCATCGATACAGCAAAGTTGGGTGGCCACCATTTCTTCTTGTTATCCATATACCTACAACCCAATGTTACATACCAACAGTGTGGGGCGTATATATATATATATATATATACTTACGTGAACAATGGACTCAAAGCTGTTCGAACGGCACCACCATTGAGTTGACTAAACAAGATGGATGCACTCTTTGCTGCCATGATATCAATGACACCCTTTTCCAATCCACTGTTGTTGATGCTGGATTTGGTAATGTCGACTGAATCGGCACTAGGATGACGCTTAGTATGATAATGACTCGGCCCATGGATGATAAAACCACTCACTTTTTGGCAAGCGTATTGGCGGGTGTATTGGATGCTGCCAGTGTTGTAATAACAGGTGGTAAAAGGATACCAAGTTGTGTCTTAAAAGTCGAGGTTTGCAAGGAGGCGGATGAAAATACGGCTTGAATGGCTCGATGGCCGATATGTTTCATGCTGTATATCCAATGAGTGTCTTATGAGAGGAAGAAAACCAAGGAATGATCCAACCTACCTGAGATTGGTGTTGGGATCCGTATTGTTGTTCTCGCATAGATCAGCAAACTTTTTAATGAGAGACTCGAAATCAGTAGTAAATTCGGCATCCACGCCCAATGTTGATCCATCATGGTATTTGCTGAACATGATAAACTAGAAAAAAAGTCCTTTGTTAATCATAAAGGGTGTGTATTAAATAGATGGATTGCTCACTTACGGTATCACATGTCAAATCAATCAACTCCAAATCTTGTGTGCCGAGCATCATACATAGGATCTTGACAACATATTTCGAAAACAGGTTCAAATCTCGGTGACACGATTGAATCAAAGCTTTGATGATTTCCAAGGATACTTGGTTGTTTCTATGCCAACGCCATCCATCATGATTAATAACACGTGGAAAGAGAGAGAGAGAGAGAGCTGGCACTCCACTTACTGCTTTCGATTCTTCCAAACATCACGTTCAACCTTCTTTTCGAGAAAGGTGCCGACTTTGGTAAGCTTGACAGGTCGAGAGCTGGCATAAAACGTGAGATAGCTAAGCTCGGAAGAACGAGGTCCCTTCTCGCCCTCCTTCTCAGGATAACAGTTGTTGATGAGTGTCGCGTGTTTGACGTAGCTAGCGAGGTACAACATGAATACAATGACCACTGAAATGATAAAGCGTCATGAGCTTACAGATGCATGGAATGGAGTTCAATGGAGGTGTCCGTGCGTGATGAGTTGAAAGTACGAGCGTTAAAGTTGAATAAGAAAAAGAGAAAGAATGTGTTGCAAACTGGGGGGGGGGTTGAGTTCAAGAAAGGAAAGACAAGGATCAAACAAAAAGTGTGTGAGAGTGGGTGAGTGAGAAAAAGAAAGAGGAAAAGAGAGAGAGAAGAGAGAGAATATAAAAAGAGCGAAAGAGGACTTGGAGTTATGTGGATAGATTACACACGCACGCAACGCACGCACGCACGCACACACCAAAGCGGCTTTACTGTGAAGGGACTGAGTATTAGGTTGGTGCGTGCTGTTCAATTGAATTAGGATGTGCTACAGTGCCAATCTTTATTTCAGTCGGTCCTCCTTTGAGTCACTTTATATCTTCCTTTACAGGAAACTTGCGTGCCACGCTAGTACAAGAAGCACTTTTTCAATCACTCTTGCCATCTTTTACTCTACTCATTTCTGCTTTACGCGTTTTCCACCACCACGCAGCGGTAAAAGGATCGGTTTATGCAAAAGTAAAAAAAGGGGGGGGGTTTTCTTTTGAGTGCTCGGTAGATACAATGGGAGTGTGCTGGATTGGAGAAGCTAATTTTTAGAACAAGCTTTTTGATAGAAAAGCACGTGCTTTTCGATTGGCTTGAACTTTTTCACGGAGGACACAATAGTCTTTTTTACACAAGAGAGGAGAAAAGAGAGAGAGAGAGAGAGAGAGAGAGAGAGAGAGAGAGAGAGAGAGAGAGAGAGAGAGAGAGAGAGAGAGAGAGAGAGCAAGGACGACAACAGGGTAAATGAAGGGTCGTTTTTGTGTATCGAGTCAATGTAAGGGGTAAGGGAGGAGAAGCGAGAAGGGGCGGGGCGGGGGAGATGGGATGTGGAACTCCACTACCACCTATCACCTACTATGCTGTTGTATCATCATATGATAATTGAATGGGATAATGGATACAACCACAGCCCATCTTTTTGTGGGGACACGTGTGAAAATCATCAGTATCATTTTTGGTTGTTGAATATGGCTGGTGCGGTTTTCCGTCGAAAAGGTTTGAGCAACATGTTGGCTGTACCAGGAAAGCTATTCCTTCGTCGTGGAGGAGGTGGAGGTGATAGTGGATGAGTATTGGTGGTGGTGGTGGTGGTGGTAGCATGATGCAAGTCGGATGCCAAGCCGTTGTTGTTTCTATTATTATGATCATGATTGCGTTGTTGGCTGGGTCGGCGACGTACAGAGCGCTTGACTGCTTCATTCAAGGATTGCCGCCGTTGCTTGATTGTTTGTATATGATTTTTGATGATGCGCTTCAAAGACTTTTTATGTTGTTTGTTGTTGCTTTCATTATCGTCGTTGTTCATATAGCCTGCTATGTTTGTTTTGGCGTTGTCACCATCATCATCAAAGGATTCATTGCTTATCATCAGCGTCTCAGGGGTTGTTACTTTGCTGCTGGCAGCTGCTGATAAATGTGTAGAGATCGTGGTGGTAGCAGGAGCAGTGCTGGGTGGCATTTCCATCATGGTAATGTGGTGGTAAGGTGGTGCCGTTGTCTTTGTGTCCCAAAGACAAAGCATGGCCGATACGATCCAAAACAAAGGCCCATATAGCTGGATCCAGCAATGGTATAATTGTGCCTTTACAGTATCCCATTGCTTGGATGGGAGGAGAGCACTGCTCGAAACAGCGACAATGATTGTGGCGGTATGACTACTAGAAGGCATTAAGACATATGGGGTATAGGTAGATATCCTTGGTAAGAAGAAGAAGAAAGAAGAAGAGTGTAAATCACAAATTGAAGGATTATAAAAAAGGATATGCAAACAAAAAAAGGGATGATTAGAACGGCTTCCAGGGCCAAGATAGTAGCCTAAAAGATCACGGGGAGGCAGGCATTACATGCATTAATGGCCTTTTGTGATTTGTTTGGTGTGTGCATGCTGTTATTCTTGTACATCCTTGACATGTATTAATCTTGTAAAGTCGCCAATGATGTTGGCGTCAATACGCCCATAAAGATGTAAGACGAAACATACAACGTGTGGGTGACACTATCATTCCTCCTTTATTGTTTATTTGAAAAATGTGAAAAGAACCCTCCTTTCCCTTTCTCTCTCTCTCTCCCCAATGTCATGTGCTGTTGTATCACCCACCACTCTTTTGGAAGCATGTAAATTTCGGCAAGGCTTTTGGGTATGTTTACAATCATCATGCAGTACTTTGATGAGGTACGAATACAAAAGGTTGTTGTGAGCATGTGAGTGATGGGATTAAAAGAAAAAAGGGACCCGCTCATCATTGCATCAAAAGAACGATGATCCCATGCTTATCGATTCAACTCATCAACAACAACCCCTGAGTGGTAGTGATCCAAGAATGAACGCCGCATACCACTTGTTATGATTCATTGTCGTTCATCTAAATAGTAATGCTATGCCACGTGGGTTGCTGCAAATAGCCACGAGATCCCAGAAAAAAAAACAAGACCCTTATTTGCTAGTAGTGGTAGTAGAATCGTCATCCTTTCTTTTTATTATTGCTGTGGTTGGTATCGAGATGATGGGCCATCTTGTCGACTTGCTGGGTAGAGCAAAAAGGTATCAAAGCTATTCTCATGATGGTGGGTGGTGTGTTGTTCTTGGCGCCAACTGCGAATGCGATCGAGATAATTTTCATGCAGGTTGGCTCTGTACTCATCCAATTCAAGAGCCAAATCACGGCTTTGACGTTGGATTTCTCGACCTCGTGCGGACATTTTTTGAGCATGACCAAGTGCAGAATCCAATAGGTCACCCAAGGTTGTCATCAGCAGCCCCATCATCACCCTGAAGATATGGGTATACCAAAACGAGATCAATGGTAACGCTTGAAGTAGTCCTACAATCATGGCTTAGTAAAATCCATGGTGATCGAGCTTGCATATTGTATACCTTCCAAAGTCCAACTATCCTCTTGATGGTAAATCTTTAACAATCCACTCTCTGGTTCTGTTTTGCGAAAATGCAGCGTTGTCACCACAGGGATCCGGAGTCTCAGAAAGGATGGAAGGATACAGGGAGACACGTTGAGTGTAAGGTGCACCACAGCTGTTCGCCTGCTCTTGATTATGACAAAGCTACTATATCAGTCATTCCACTTTACCTCGTATCAAATACAATGTTTTCGATGGTGGGTGCTTGCCGATTCAACGCTTGACATAGGGTATAAACGCTGTACAAGGGAGAGTGAGTGGCGTGTCGTGTTGCATACATAGGATGATGATGATGATCAACTTACAAATGGACGTTATTGACACCTTCAGTAGATAGGATGGGCGTTGTAAGAATGACGTCTTCAAAAAAGTAGTATTGCAACACTCGTTCCCAACGCAAAGAGCTGTATGAGAAAAGGTCCTCTACTATACCTACTAACTCGTGTCAATGGCGACTGAATGCAAATGCACCTTACAACACTACTTGCTTCTGATCAGATCATTGGAGGACATGTCAAAGTGGGTCCTCTCCGTTTCCACTTCGGTCATTGCGTTATTGGATAAGTAGTTGGGATAAGGTTGAAAAAGATCATGCGCGTTGTACGTATATAAAGGGTAACTCCGTGGATGTTTTATGCCATCCGCTGATGATCTTGAATGGTGTGGGAAATCAACGATTTAATTGACTTTTTGCATGGGACACTTTCGTATCTAGGCACACGTGATGCATGAAGACAACATCGAGAAACCCTTTTATTTTTGTATTGGGAGGGAATTGATGCTATTATGAGCACAACTAAGATAGTCTTTACGATCCACTGTTCGATAACATGATCCGATGACTGTAGGAAGGGACGCTTTTACAACAGCAATGAGAGAGGAGGGAAAGGTATTCGGAGTAAGTAGCGTTGTCTAAGTAACATGTCGATCCTTTATGGAATAATGTCCTCTTTCGGACGCCGTTTCTTTCTCCTTACTACGACTACTACTACTACTCCATCATGTCTGTGAGCTCGTCATTATACCAACAGTCAACAATAGCTTCACCCACATCGCAGCATCATCAGCCAAGCCTGTCAGAATATCTCACTGAACTTGTATCCAAACGAGTCGCTACCATCAAGTACCTACGACGAGCCCATGAAGGCAGCACTCATTGGTTCAACACGATTCTCCTTACAAAGAGCGATCTCAGTGCCTTTTATCCCAACGTCAAAATGCAAAGGAGGTAAGCTCTCATTAGGAGCAACGCGTTCTCTGTTGGCTGATAGATAAGGGGAACGACGACGACGACGACTAGGACCTGTAACTTTTATGTATTGGGTGTTTCACTGGGCACTATACTCGATATCACCAACACAGGGGATTATGTCAAGGCATTATCACAGCTCGTGGCAGAGTTCGAGACCCATACCAATGACCATAGCAAGCAGAAAATGGTACGTTTGTCCCATGATCATCATCATTGAATTGGATTGGATTGGATTGGGAGTTCTTATCGTGGAAGATATAGAAAAACATCTTTAGAAAAGCAAGAGGAAAAGAAGAAACCATGGTGACGGAAGGAGGTGATTTCACACATCTGATTGTACCTCATGTGGTAAGAGAAGAGGACGAGGAAGGAAGCATCCATCATGAGATCTCAATCCTTGTTTGATAGCCATTTGAATTGGACTACTTTGAGACGTTTTATACATTGACCGATATCCTGGTGGATGCTTATCAAAAACTATTGGAAGGATCGGATGGATGTACACAAGCATACTTTGAGCTGGTTCTCAAGTGCGATAGTAAGCTCAAGGTAAGAGCGTATATATATATATATGGATGGCATATGGCTAAATTGGGGATTGTGTCATTAGAAAATCTTTGCTCTTGTTACCAAGGAGTTGGATGGTCTTGCACGTAATGCTATCAAGGATGAGCTCAAATTGATTGATCCACTCTCACAATCGAATCGGATACCACCCATTGATTTCGAAGGAGCCGATGTTGTCTAATCACGCATGCCAATTCCACCTTATATCCCTCTACTCGTTTGATTTCCTTTATTTGTAGTAATGCTATCCAGTAATGAATGTTGTTTTACATGTTGATTCGCCTAATTATACAATGCTATGGATGGGAGATGGGAGGATTTGAATGTCTGCATGAGATCTGATCTCATGGCTTTGGATTTTCGTTTCAAAAATGTATAGGCTACGTGTCTGCAGCATCGATTGACTGCATCTTAACCATAAGGGCGACTTGGCGACGTGATTCTGTTTCAGGGTCTCTCTTATTCGAAGGAGGGGGAAGCACATCATTACTATTGTGAGGATCGTATGTGATTGGTGAACTATCGTGAGAAACATGAGAAAGAATGGAAACGTCTCGAGAAGCATGTTGTGTGTTTTATCTCTATGGCGTATGCCGCATTTGTTTGTTGTCAAGAACATTCTTCCTTTGATCTCACCCCTTTGATCTCACCCATCTTTAATTCCACAAAATTCATCCATGTGGTGTGGGCAAATATGTAAGTGATGGGTAACAATGAGCATTGGGGCATTGGGGTATAAATGAATTGGGTTGGGTGGGGGGAGGGGGGCGTGGTTGTGTGTGTGTGGTTGGAAAGATTGATAAGAGCGGTTTTGTTTGTATGTTTGTGGTGATGGTGGCGGCCTGGATCCTGCAACAATATAGAAAGTTTGAGAATATTGATCTACTACGTTGCCATTCCCAGATCTTGAACACAAGACCGCTTTTTGATCGCATAAAAAGAAGATGCTACCTTTGAAAAAATAAAATATACATCTCTCTTTTTCTTTTAATCCACAAGCAAAAATGCATTCTTCTCTTTTGGTTCGTCGTACTATCTCTGCTCGCTCTGCCATAAAGGCATCAAGGTCATACTCAGCGGCTGCTTCTACCCCTACAACTGCAGCCCCAGCTGTTCCTTTGCAACATCAAGAATTCAGTTCCAAAGATCAAGAAATGACCCATAATACCATCCATGCATTATACAACACCGAAAACCAATCCATGCTCGACCATCCTGTTTTCTCTTCAAGTAGCCAGCAAGTGCATAGCGTGGCCTCTGAATTTACCCATTCATCTGGTGCTGATTGTTTTAGTCCTACGTTTAACACTGTGTTTGATGAATAATAAAATGGGTGATTTATGCCATTTCTGTTGAAAAAATGCAAAATACAAATGGTGCGGGGGTGTTTCTACATACAATACTAGAGCTGTATTAAATAAATGGGATATTGTCCATGTCGATTTCATCGGCAATGGCATCAAGGGTAGCATCGAATGCCTCATCGTCTGCCTCTTCATAATGGATTGTGGTGGAGGTGGGGGAAGTGGGGGTGTTGTTGTTGGTATGATTGTTTGTAGCATCGTCGTCGTCACCTTGAGGGTCAGCTGATGTGGGTAAAGAAGTGGCGGATTTGGAAAAGGTCCGAGAAAATACGCCACCCAGGACTTTGTTAACGATGCTGGAGGATGCGGATGAGGAGGAGTTGTTGTCAATAGGGGTGGCAGGATAATCCGAAGAAGCAATGCTATTGATAGGTGAAGAAGGTTCGTCGATACTGGTCTTGTCATCAGCATCTTGACTTTGTTGTCGAGAAAGTAAATTGGGTGTGCTGGATGAAGCAGCCACTCGAAGGGATGATTGAGAAGGAGGTGACGAGGCGTATGTTGAGGTGGTGGAGGAAGAAGAAGGTGCAATAGCGGGTGCTGCTGATCGAGAAGTGAAGCTACGAAGAATACCTCTTTGTCTACGAGGTGGCGGTGATGGTGCTGCAACAACGGAACGGGCGGGTAATGCAGATGGATCAGCAATAATTGGTTTTGGCTTGGGTGATGTAGGTGCAGTAGGCTCTTCCAATTCGGGAAGATCAATATCCGGTAAAGGTGCCTTCCAGAAATTATAATCGCTGAACTCTTCACTGACAACCTTGTTGATGGGCGGGAAGATTTGATCCACCAAGTCATTCAAATGCAAATACGATGACTTGAAGCCTTGTAACAATTCAAGCTTGAGCTCACCATTCGCATCAATCGTAAAAATACGCGAGGAGGGTACACTGACGCTGCGATAAGAAATGGCATCCGTGATACGATTACCAAAGCCTGCATAGAATGGATTACGACCACCAAAGAGACGCATCACATCTCGTAAACATGCCATCTTGAACACTTCAGGCTTTCGCATGATCACTTCACGATGGAATGATGTAAAGAGTCGATCCGGAGACATGATCACTGGTCCTTCAGGCAATTGGTAATTGCTTTGCGCCACCTTTTTAAGGTAATCACGGGTAGAATCTGCTTGGCCAATAGCTCGACTTGTCAAGTACATGAAATGGTACCCGTTTTTCTCCACATCGGTGTATAACTTGGCCACTCCCATATGGGTCCAATCCTTGCCAATCATTGTAAAGACGTGTCCAAGTGCATCGGATTTGGTGATCGTGCCATCGATATCTGAAATCACCACACTCACATCATAATCCCAATAAAAGATCTTGGCGGTGCATGTTGCTGTGCCTTGATAAGCCGATGTGACAGAAAAGGTGATCGTATTTGCACCCTTTTTGAGATTGAGGCTTTTGAGTTGATCGGATGTAAGTCGTAGTGTCTTGGCATAGTTTTTCCTGGGACCCAAGAGTGGTTCTTCATCGGGATGTGAGTGATCGGCATTCCAACCCACCGAGGTGGTCTTGGTTGTTGTGGTATAAGTCGTCGTCTCATTGTTGTTGTTGTTGTTGCCATTAGTCGCCTCCACTGGTTTCTTCTTCTCCTCATCCTCTCCTGATGTCTCGGCTGCTTCTGCCGGCAATGGAGTGGAGCCTGCAACAGATGATCGACTCAACCATTGACGCCAACCACGACCAAATGAATAAGTGTCTCGGCTATCCGATACTTGTGCTGCTGTATCCTCTTGCTCGGTCCCATCTTGATCATCCAAAGGTTTTTGAAAGAGCAATAAATTGGTGAACAATGGACCCGTATGACTTGGAGCATAATAATGACCATGATGTCGAAACACGAGACGTTGATCGTTCAAGATGTTTGGATTATGTACAAAGTTGTCGTAGGTGAGTTGTTCCTTGTTGAAGACCTCTGCATTCTTTTCTTCATCCGATCCCAATGCACTCAAACCGCACAAACTCATTTCAATGCGGTAAATCTCTCCAGGTGTCATTTTGATATCACTCGTCGACTTGTTGGTTGATTGTTGTTCTTGTTCTTCAATGACAGGTGGATCATTCTCATCGTTGGATGTCGTTTCTTTGATAGAATCAGCTGATGCATCTTCTGTCGCTGATGATAATTGTTGCGTTGGCGCTGATGACATTTCACGAGTGATCTCTCTCGTGGTTGTTGGATCCATGTGCTCAAGTTGTTCCTTTTCAGCTTCTTCCTCCCCGGTCTTGTAACCAGCAATATCGAGAAAAATGGATTCTGCATCTCCATGACGTGGTGAAGTAGGCTCAGCAGGTCCATTGTTACCATCATGCGTTGAATCACGGGTATGCACTGAAGTGTGTGTAACATCCATCCATGTATTATGAATGTCACCATCTGCAGGTCGCACAATGAATCTTTCTTTAGCAATGGTGGTGCTGGTGATAGCTTCTGGAATACATCGTTCAAGCAATGAAGCACCATCATCCATAGGATATATGTCGTTCTTTGGCATCATCATTTTCTCCTCATCCAAGCACACATGTTGCATCTTTTCTGATAAATCCTCTTGTTGTTCATGTTCATGGTGGTGGTGGTGGTGGTGATGTTGCTCATTCGAATGTTCAACATGATCATGTGGAAATGTATCCAACTTGGTGACGACCTTATCCACTTGTTCTTCAATGATCATCTTTGGTGATTGTAATTCGGCAGGAATACGCAATTTGGTGGTATCAACTTTGGGTTGTTCATCGTCATCGAATCCATCATTTTCGGATGCTGGTTTTGGGCTATTGTTGGCTTCATCCATTGACTGTGATTGAGCTGTATTACAATTGGTCAATGGTTCAGATATAGGTAAATTAAATAATGATTGTACCTTTCTCATGATCCTTTGACTCGCCAATATCAAGATAAGGTGGTTCCTAGAAAAGATTATCGAATGTTAATCATGTTGCTTTTTTCATTTTTGTTCAAGGTGTTTCTTACCTCATCGCTCCTGTTTTCTTCAATAGCACTCATGATGGGAGACGTTTGGAATTCTTCAGGGACTTCATGTTCGGTTTCAAAGACAAAGAATGCTTCACCCGCTTCACCCACTTTCATCACATAAGGCATGACTTCATCATTAATCTTGATTTCCACCTAAAAATGAACGAACGAATTAGATTACAGTCAAACCAACCACCCCAAAAGCTCGGGTTCTCATCCCACCTCCGCCCAACCAACCAACCCCTTGTCCCCAAGTTCATGCAGCAGTATTTGAGTGCCTGTTGTACCTTTCTCACACCCCAAACCTTCCTTTTTTCATTGGCCAATCCCCACAATTCCTTTTTGTGTGTGTGTGTGTGTGTGAAAGAGAATACTGTACCTTTTTTTCTTGTGGCATAAGCACTGACAGTTTGCCAAATCGGACGTGGAACGGTGAACATGCGAGTTCTCCATCTTGTTGCTTGACGACAATGATATCGATGGCTCCCGAGAGAGTGGCAGGATTCAACTCGTTATAAAAGTTGTGCACTGACGTGAATAGATTGCTGAGACGGCCGACGTATTCCATGGGTTGATCGCAAGGCGGTGTTGAATGACAAAGGGAGTTGCGAAGTGGGTTCGACCAAAGCGTAAAGGGAGGAGGAGAATGTCAATGACAAAACGATGGAAAGGAGAGAGAAGGAGGAGGTGGTGAGATCGGTCAAGTGATGGCGGCAGTAACAAAGGAGAGAGAGAAAGAAAGAAAACGACCCTTCATTACCCAAATAGTCATGGAGAGCTGGTTTCCCGGTCTGAGTTTTCAAGCTGTCCTGGTATTGCTATGACACGTGAAGAAAAATAGATACTCACCTCTCATCCATGTCTATGGATATAGCTTATAAAGTTATAGGGTATAATAAAGGTAAAGCCTATTATGGGCATTGACATTGAGTATACAACCTGCCATGCTCCATTATCAATGAAAGTGCATCCACGTTATTGCAAGATTTCCATGTCCCATGGACGCCCATTGCGTGCCATTTCTTGTGACACCAACAGCTGTGCTCCATTGCTGATTACACACACAAGACGTCTGTGCAAGACTCCGGCACGAGGCTTTGTTATTAAAATAGTTTTTTATATTCCTTATACCTCGCTTCAGCTGATGCTTATTCATCCTTTCATTTGATTCATCATCCAAAGACTTGTAATGTCGTATATGAATAAACCACAGGTCGTGATTGTTATGAACAAAGCAAATGATCCAATAGCAAATGTATTATATGATCTGTCAATTGCCGACATAGCAAAGTCACATGGTGATCAGGATCAAGGTTGTTGTTGATGTATGTAGAATCCTCTGTTTTGGATCATATGAAACAACGAAACTATTGGGACTAATAGCACATGTTCATACGTATCGTGATGCGTGTATCATTTATTGATCACCACGTTTTTTATATCAATGCCGTCAGTGGATCAATAAAATCCAGGTCACGATGCTGATATTAGCATTCAATAACTATTACCATCAAGATGTCGTCATGCTTAGAGCATAGCGTACAATCTATTGATGAGATGCCATTCCTTACATAATGGTATTTCACACGCAACGTGCGCACGGACCATGCCCCTCGCTGCAGGCTAGGCAATCTTTGCCTGCTTCAAGGCCCCATATAGAGTAAAAGATTCATAAAGGACCACTCAATGCGTTATGGTAGCATGAGCCATAAAAATACTCTCATTGTCTTACATAGCACCAATGCATCTCCACATGTTACCAAAAACATCACCGCTGCATTTGTAAACCATTGCCAAGGTGATGCTCATCCGCGAGCAATATCAATACCAGATCATAAGCCCGACAAACAACTCTGATTGATCCCATTGTCATTTATATAGTACGCATAATAAGCTAGCTACTAAATGGAAGTGGAAAACAAATAATGCTTGCTTCTACTACTTTGCCATTGTCACCCTCATCGTAGCCGCCATGAGAATGATCCAAGATACAAACGGGCAGAGTGGTTAATGAATGGGACCTTGCACGTTCCTTTCGTATGCCAACACCTTGCGAAGGGAGAAGTAAACCATGCTTATTGGTGTTGTTGTTATCATCACTAATGAAGAACATAGTTTTGTAGTAGCCAAGCTTAGCAATGTTCTCGTCCATCCTCTTCAAAGAAGAAACAAACCTCATCTACCCAATCATCCATCTCACGAAAAGAAATCTCCATAGCTGAGGAACCAGTCTACAACGAGGAAAGCACCTATGTTGAATGGGCCACCAGCAAGATCACATGAAGGCTAGGGGTCGAAGTCATAGAGATAGTTGCAATGCCTGACCAAGAACCTATTCAATAATAGCATCATCCATTGTTACATTAAAAGCCTGTATCATTGTATTTGTTGACTGCACTTGCCTTTTATACATACACACAGACCTTTGTTGCTGGTTACCGTGGAAACCGAAGACCACGTTGTTGCTTAGCCGAGTCGAGTCAACCCCCAAATGAGCCAACACCCTTGCGATCGAATCTCTTCGTCTATACAAGCTGACATGTCAATGGAGCAAGTTCCACTTCAACATTGGCCCTGAATGTACCTGTTGGCATCAAGCGTGGAGCGGCATAGCAGCGAAAGGAAGCGGAGCGGTGATTCACCTTGGCTACAACCACCCTCACTACAGCACACCCAGCTCATCCTGCCCGACACCAGATCACACGTGCATGGGTTCACAAGCAAAGGCTTCTCAAATTTAGATTACTTTTTATTACTTAATACAGTGATCTTCTCATTTCATCCTTCCATAAGTCATCATCTTTGTATCTTAACTACAGTAGAGAGAAGAATGCTGATTAAAGATTTGGATGATTTGACATTGGTCAAAGGAAGATGATGATCAGCATGATTGTTTATGTAGCTATTAGCATGATAGTGAGTATGGCATAAAGTGTGTCAATAAAATGAGTGAGCAAACTGCTGCAAATAGATTATTACTATTACCACGCTCTGTGTGGGATGATGGATGATGATGATGGATGAAAAGCAATGTACCTTTCGAGATCCATGCAAAGATACTTCCGCGTCCACTGACATTTTTGGCTTATTGACCATATCATGGTTAGTTTGAGCTAGATCCCATACGGCTATCGTAGGCGGATCTTACTCCTATAAGCATACAGGGGAAATCTATCATGCACTTTCTACCCAATAGGATCGATCCTTCAACTCCTGCCCTTGACTTGGTGACACATACAAGTCCCTCTGCATCTTTTGCTCTATCATGTTCTAGTTATTGAAATGAACAAAGACCACCTTTCATATAGCATCACGCCTACAGCATATGTAAAACATAAAGGTGCCTGTATCTCTAAACTTTACAATGAAACGAGGGGTCTTTAATAGAACCATGTTGCTCGGCGGGGTGAAAGCGATCTTGTGTCAAACTATGAAGTCCATCGTGGCCAATTCCAGATTTCGCAACGTCGCCACCAGCCAAACTGGATCTGGGGGGTCGACCTCTTCGACGACGTCGACCAAAAAAAATATTTTTTGGGCTATTTGCGACATTGAACGCGAAACTTTCACACAAGGTGCTGTTGGCCAAGCTGAGCACATTGCTCTATTCAAAACCCCACGTTTCATTGTAAAGTTTGGAGATACAGGCACCTTTATGTTTGTAAGCGTGATGCTATATGAGAAGTGATCTTTGTTCATTGTCAAGTAGGTGGACCCTGGCAGAGCAAAAGATGCAGAGGGTCGTGTTGTGTAACACAGCTACGTTTGCATGAATGAAAGGGTCAATGTATAATTACTTTATGGATCATCTAGGAACAGGCATGTATTGCCAGCTAACGGCCACTTTTATCCAATCATCATTGTAGCGAGATCCACTGCATGGGAACGATGCCCCTGCTCTAGACATTCATTTCCATGATTAAAGTAGGTTGATCCGAGCTGATTTGGTTGAGTTACGCTCACACAAGATTACATCGGTTGAGCTACATCGAGCGTGCTTTATGTCCAGAGTGATGTAATCTCTCTTTGACCGCAGCTCAGTCAAATCAGCTCGGATCAACCTACTTTAATCATGGAAATGAATGTCTAGAGCAGGAGCATCGTCCACCTACAATAGAATGCACAAAAGTTGTGAATGCACAAAAGTGGCTATTAGCTGCCAATGTATGACCTGAAAATGAGGGTTGCGTACCTTTCATGCATTGTCCCTGAAGTCCTGACTTTTTAGCTGAGTTACCCAAAGAGGTCCTTCTGCATCTTTGGCTCTGCCAGGGTCCACCTACTTGACAATGAACAAAGATCACTTCTCATATAGCATCACGCTTACAAACATAAAGGTGCCTGTATCTCCAAACTTTACAATGAAACGTGGGGTTTTTATCAGAGCAATGTGCTCGGCTTGGCCAACAGCACCTTGTGTGAAAGTTTCGCGTTCAATGTCGCAAATAGCCCAAAAAATATTTTTTGGTCGTCGTCGAAGAGGTCGACCCCCGGATCCAGTTTGGCTGGTAGCGACATTGCGAAATCTGGGATTGGCCGCGATGAACTTCGTACTTTGACACAAGATTCCTTTGACCCCGACGAGCAACACTGTTCGATTAAAGACCCCACGTTTGATTGTAAAGCTTAGAGATACAGGCACCTTTATGTCTGGTCTATGCTGTAAGCGTGATGCATATGAAAAGTGGTCTTTGTTCATCGTTGAGAAGCTAGCCCCAGTAGAGCCACTAATGCAGAAGAACTTCTTTGTGTAACAGGGACAAGAAGTCAGCATCAGGGGTCAATGCATGATACTTGTAAACTGCCAACTAACAGCCCATTCTTCCATTTTGCCACCACTACCCACCTCACTGCATGTGAACGATTGTCCTGCTCCAGCCCAGCATGCCCATCCTTCAACTTTCTTGATCTGAGTGGATTAGGCTGAACAACGCTCAAACGAAGAAATATGATTCAACAATTCATTTTATTCTTCCACTTCTTCCGCTCCCAACTTCTTGCCGCTTCTTCCCATTTTCAACTGTTGCTCCATTCAACCACAACTACCACTGCGAACGATTGTCCTGCTTCAACCCATCATGTCAATCCTACAATTGCCTTGATCCGAAAGCCATTGACTGAATGGCAAAGTCCATGGCGTGAACACAACCTTCTTGTCACTCTTCTACAACACACGCTCTTGCGCACTTCTCTTCCACAACCAATCGTAACAGCATTCATTCCAGCAGTTCCTGTTATCATTGTCTCTACCCCATTGTCTCGAACAGTGTTCTTTACTTGCAGCGACCTACCTTGCAGCCTTTTTTACGTGAACATCAAGTAGCCATGGTATAGAAGCGACTTTATTTGCATGTAGCGACTTGCTTTACGACACACGATTTACTATGGATGATGCCATATCAGCTATCAAGGATTACGAGTAAACTTCACCAGGTATGAGCTGCGATGGAAAATGGCCAAGGAAGATTGACTCACAACTGGATGGAAAAGGAAGCATGTCAGCAGCGATTACTGCAATGGCTAGGATGGATGGATGGACGCAATCAAGCACGGTTTTGAGGATCCTTGGAATGTTACTTTGGTTATTTGGCACGTCGTCAGCAAGAAGGAAGGATCCTATCATATGAACACGGCTGAGGATGGTGGTGATGGATTGGGATGGTACGAAGCGGAGAGAGTTTTTCTCCTTGATGAAGGATGGTTGATCGACTATGGATGATACTAGAATACTCGAGTCCAATCACTGCTGCAGCTGCTGAGGAATCCCGCGCGCGGGATGACGGCGAGAACCAAGAATACAGCAATACGTAACTGAACGAAGTACACC